AAACCATATTTTTGTTTTATTTTAAAGTTACTAAGTGGCTTTGTTTGGTAAAGAGGCAGGTTGCTTTCAAAATTCGACGTGATTGGTTTACATGTACGGTAATTGTTCTGATGTTTTTTTTTGTTTGTTTGTTTGTTTGATTTTTTTATGTGAAATTTTCATTTTTCACACATTAGCATTTTCAGTGGCTTTTATGTCCCATGGAACTAGGTTTTCAATGTCCATGTTACCTGTAGTACATCATGTAAGAGGATAAGAAGGATTATGCTGTTTTAAAGCCTTATGTAACAGTGGATCAAAATTGACCAAAACATTATTTTGTGCACTTTTTCCAGCATAATGTCTGAACATTTGATAGCTTTGCTGCCTCGTTTCCGGGATGCTGTCTGTATATTTGCCAGCTTTTCTGTCTAGTTTTAAATTAAAATTAACGGGAAAAGAATTTTCTTGACATTCACCAAGAAAGGAAAGGTTTATGGGAGATGAATGCACAGCCCCAGCATACTGCATATACAATGGATCAAAAGATAATGAAAAATAATAATAAGTTAATTGAATTATCTTGCCTTTAAAAGATCTTCAAGATACTAATGGTATTAGATAAGTTATCTATTTTGACATAAAATGAGGATAAAACTGTTATTTTGTTTCACAATTTTAATGATAATCTAGCAAATATACTGGGAAATTGGGTCATTGACATACCTGCTTTTCTCCGTAAAGAAATTCATCCAAACTTTTTCATCGCCTTTTGAAAGAGCTCAAATGATTATGATATTTAAAGGGATAACAATTATTCATTTTGGCCAAAAAATTATTTTTCCTGGGGTAAAGAACAATTTTCCCATACTTCCCAATGGTTATTGAATCCATTTCTACATTCAAAGTTAGTCCCTGTTTTTTTTTTCTAAAAAGTTTTTTTTTTTTTGTTTAAATCTCTTAAGAGATTATCACAAAGTGTAGCCATCTATTATAGAGGTCAAGTGATGTGATAGCAAGCATAAACTCCAGAAAAAATGTGTTAACCGCCATTTTGGTGGTAAAATAGAATTTATTATATTTCTATGATTTGTTTGCAATGTATTTATAGTAAAATATGGATATCTCACAAACAGTTGTTATCCCTTCAAGTGTTAAATTTGATTTTTATTCAGGTATTTCTTTCAAATCCAACATTGTTTTGGAAAATTTTTTTTTAATGGTTTTGTCTGAGATTCGTGAGAAGTTACGGTATGCTAAGTGAAAGAATTTACAGTGTGTTAAAAGTCGGGTATGTTAATTTTAATCATGGAGGATCAGCCAGTCTGGAAATGTACTCAGTTCTAGTGAAACCTGTTAATCTAAAGGTGTCCTTGTACTCTCTTTTTAGGGCATTGACACAGTTGTGTCAGCGATGCTATCAGCAGATTTAGGTCACAGATAGCTACAATGTTATGCAAAACAGTGGCTCATAAATTGATACCCATCATTTATGCATGGCAGTGGCTCACAGATTTGCATTTTTTTTGTTTCAGGGTTTATCACAAACCTTTTAAAGTTAAAAAGTTCTGTTGGACAAAATATTTTCGGTATGACATCATCAGTTTTTGTGCATAGAATATTGATTTTTAAAGAAGAGGTTTTGGGGAATAATAAAAGTGCTTCACCCGTCAATAAATATAATTGCTGATCATATCTCTGATGTATGGCAATGACTTGATTTTATTTTTGTGAATGTTACAGTTATAACAGTTTTTTTTTTTTTAAGTCATTAAGTCATAAAATTTGAGCATTTTCATCAAAAGGCAGCGACTGTTTTGTCAACTTATAGCTGTATTCTATACCATAAAAGCACCAAAAATGCTGGAAAGAATTACATTTTGAACACTTCCAAATTTTAATTAAAATGTATGTGAAAAATTGATAATTTATCTTCACTGAAAAAATTGAGTCATTACCGTGTACATTTGTAACATTACTGACTGTGACCTGAAAATGACCTGATAACAGTTTAAGAACAACTTGATTAGATTAGGCCTGTTCACATGAGGTATGTCTAGACTGGAAGTTGTGCCAACTGTAGTAATCAGATTTATTACTCAGTCTTTTCTCTGTCTGAGGTATAGTGGGAACTTTGGAGAAAGGGACACAAATCATTATTAGCATTTGACTATTGTTTTATTTATTTATTTGGGGGCAGGGGGGGGGGGCAGTTTCCCACCTTAAGCAGCTGCAAGACCCCCAAAGCCACCAAGATATTTCTTCTTACTTTTATTGCACAACCCAAGAGCAAGTCTGGTGGTTACGACTGTGTCATTACTAATTGTTCACTTCTGTTGAAAGCATTGTTGTGTATAAATCCTGTAAAGAGAAGTTGTTTGTTATGAAGTCTAAGTGAAACAGGACAATGGTTTTGAACTATTTATTTTTTTCTTTTCACACTGTCACTGGCTCATTCAGTTAGGATATATACCAGCATTCAATGTTTTAATCAGAAATTATATATATATTATAAACCCAGTGGCTGCTCAATGTTTTTAAGACGCAGCCCATTAAATTAATGGGAAAAGGCTGGATTGCAGCATGGCAAATGAATTTGTTTAAGTATTGTGTATTAAGTATTGTGCTAGGAGAGATGAATGTGTCTGGCACAGCCATCACAATTTTTATTTTAATGTTGGACCTTTTGAGCAACAAACAAATTTATAGTGAACATATGTTTTTATAAGAAGTCTTTTCTCATTTGTAGTTGTTGTATTTTTCCAAGTGCAAAATTTGTCTCCTGTGCCATTTTAGTATTTTGAAGAGATAAAAGGACAGTGTATAACATTGATATTGTCTGTGAAATGTGTATTGAGGTAAAAAAAAAAACACACACACACACATAACATTAGTGCCAGATACCCTTGTATTGTTGAAGACTCCTGAAAGTTTGTTTATATTTTTCCACCCCAGTTCCACTCTATGTCTCCTACACCTTTTCTCCACTGACTTACAATGTACAATTTATATTCAGCTGTAAATGAATTTTATGCATGTGTAAATATTGTGTGCATACATGTGACTTGAGAGTTGTTTTTTTTTTTTAATTTACACATGAGAAAGTATTTATATGTGTGTTTATATATATAAAATTCTCTTCATAATTATTCATCACAGTGGCACCTTGGGTTCTTCAAGAAGGAGTACACCCCGACTTTCCGTGGCTTTGACAGCCATTTTGGCTACTGGCTTGGCGAGGAGGGCTACAGCAATCACAAGGCTTATGCATATGTATGTACCTCATCTAACTAATGAGTAATTTAAAAGATACTAATTAGACTGGTTTCAGTATTATGGTATGATGTGCATTGTACAGTACGCCTTTTGCAGAAATTTCAAACTGTCTTTCATTATATGGAGCAAACATAGCTTTTCATTTCATCACTCTGTTTGAGAAAAAGAAAAAAGAAAAAAAAGATTATTACCAAAATTATAAAATTCATCCTGGTTTTCCAGCCAGATGCATATGGTCTTGATTTCCGCCATGATATGGCTCTGCTGTCAAACTATAGTGGGAGATATTCAACAGAACTTTTCACTGAGGAAGCCACCAAAATAATTCAGAGACATGACACCAACAAGGTAAACTTTTGGAAATTGTAAACTATGGGTATTTTTTTTTTTAATTTCAATACCAGCCTAGCCGCTGGCAATACACCAACCCTGCTGAGTACTTCTCCACAACTAAGACCCATACATTCACACCTTTAAAATTTTATGCACTTACTCCCACTGGTGGTAAAATACCGGGACATGGTATCACCTCTCAGATTCTCTAGTTATTTTTTTAAATATATATAATTGTACCACCAGCGTAGGCGCTGGCAGTTCCCATGGTTTTAGTCCCGACCCATATGTTCCGCCAGCTCCTGCGGCTCTGCCGCCAAGTCATCGTTACTGCTTCTCCTCCTAGACTACAAGTTCCTACGTACCCATCTCTTGGATTTAGGTCACGTGTAATCTCAACTCGATCCACGTAAAATTTGGGCATAGTCGGTGCTGGGGTCTAGGTGTGGTGCTTGTTGCAATGCACCCTTGTCCAAAATTGGCAAAATTATATGCTAAATATCTACCATACCGAAGGAATTATGGGAAAAATTTCTACAGACGGCTGACCGAAAGTCATATGTGGAGATTTCAAATATGCCCTTGGATTTGACCTTTGACCTTTATTTCTAGGTCAAATGGGCCAAAATTTTCTAAAAATGGAAATTTTTTAAGATAAAAAATTTATTTCTTCCAATTTTTTAGAAACTACACAGACCTTACTTATAATACTATGGGCAGGTCATCTTTCATCTCCTTGAGTTTGGGGCCAATTGGTGCATTTTCACAGGAGTAGCGACCATAAGATACCGAAACTGAAAACCCTCTCTGATTCAGGGACCATAAGTGCTCTTGCTTTTTGCATTTTGTAGAGCATGTCAAGCCCAACACTGGTGGTGGTGTCCATTTTTTAAGATAAAAAAATTATTTCTTCTGATTTTTTAGAAACTACACAGACCTTACCTATAATATTATGGGCAGGTCATCTTTCATCTCCTTGAGATTGGGGTCAATTGCTGCATTTTCATGGGAGTAGCGGCCATAACATATCGAAACTGAAAACCCTCTCTGGATTCAGGGACCATTAGTGCTCTTGCTTTTTGCATTTTGTAGAGCATGTCAAGCCCAACACTGGAGGTGGTGTCCATTTTTTTGTTTTCCATATGGTTTACGAGTTACGCTGTATCAAAAAGTACATTGTGGTGGTGAAAGTAAAATGTGCAATACGGTAATATGTATAAAATTTCAAACGTCTGACCTTTGGCCTACTTTTCACCATGAACTGAACTCTCCAAAACTAGCAGAGATAGGGCCCTANTCATTATATGGAGCAAACATAGCTTTTCATTTCATCACTCTGTTTGAGAAAAAGAAAAAAGAAAAAAAAGATTATTACCAAAATTATAAAATTCATCCTGGTTTTCCAGCCAGATGCATATGGTCTTGATTTCCGCCATGATATGGCTCTGCTGTCAAACTATAGTGGGAGATATTCAACAGAACTTTTCACTGAGGAAGCCACCAAAATAATTCAGAGACATGACACCAACAAGGTAAACTTTTGGAAATTGTAAACTATGGGTATTTTTTTTTTTAATTTCAATACCAGCCTAGCCGCTGGCAATACACCAACCCTGCTGAGTACTTCTCCACAACTAAGACCCATACATTCACACCTTTAAAATTTTATGCACTTACTCCCACTGGTGGTAAAATACCGGGACATGGTATCACCTCTCAGATTCTCTAGTTATTTTTTTAAATATATATAATTGTACCACCAGCGTAGGCGCTGGCAGTTCCCATGGTTTTAGTCCCGACCCATATGTTCCGCCAGCTCCTGCGGCTCTGCCGCCAAGTCATCGTTACTGCTTCTCCTCCTAGACTACAAGTTCCTACGTACCCATCTCTTGGATTTAGGTCACGTGTAATCTCAACTCGATCCACGTAAAATTTGGGCATAGTCGGTGCTGGGGTCTAGGTGTGGTGCTTGTTGCAATGCACCCTTGTCCAAAATTGGCAAAATTATATGCTAAATATCTACCATACCGAAGGAATTATGGGAAAAATTTCTACAGACGGCTGACCGAAAGTCATATGTGGAGATTTCAAATATGCCCTTGGATTTGACCTTTGACCTTTATTTCTAGGTCAAATGGGCCAAAATTTTCTAAAAATGGAAATTTTTTAAGATAAAAAATTTATTTCTTCCAATTTTTTAGAAACTACACAGACCTTACTTATAATACTATGGGCAGGTCATCTTTCATCTCCTTGAGTTTGGGGCCAATTGGTGCATTTTCACAGGAGTAGCGACCATAAGATACCGAAACTGAAAACCCTCTCTGATTCAGGGACCATAAGTGCTCTTGCTTTTTGCATTTTGTAGAGCATGTCAAGCCCAACACTGGTGGTGGTGTCCATTTTTTAAGATAAAAAAATTATTTCTTCTGATTTTTTAGAAACTACACAGACCTTACCTATAATATTATGGGCAGGTCATCTTTCATCTCCTTGAGATTGGGGTCAATTGCTGCATTTTCATGGGAGTAGCGGCCATAACATATCGAAACTGAAAACCCTCTCTGGATTCAGGGACCATTAGTGCTCTTGCTTTTTGCATTTTGTAGAGCATGTCAAGCCCAACACTGGAGGTGGTGTCCATTTTTTTGTTTTCCATATGGTTTACGAGTTACGCTGTATCAAAAAGTACATTGTGGTGGTGAAAGTAAAATGTGCAATACGGTAATATGTATAAAATTTCAAACGTCTGACCTTTGGCCTACTTTTCACCATGAACTGAACTCTCCAAAACTAGCAGAGATAGGGCCCTAGTTACTATTGAAGTTGAATAGGAAGTCATATACTGGAAACCTAACAGTGACCTTGAAAGTGACTTTTGACCTACTTCTCATCATGAACTGAACTTTGCAACTTTTCTATGCATTATATCTCCAAACCTAGCACAGATATGACCATAGTAACTACTGAGCTTGAATAGGAAGTCATATACTGGCAATCTAACTGTGATCTTGAAATTGACCTTTGACCTACTTTTTGCCATAAACCACATTTAACAAATTTGGAATAAAACTAATTCAAATTTTTACCCATGATTTTGTTTTCAATGGTAATTTTCAATAAAAATATTGAGAACTTTTGTTTACAGCATTTTGTAGAGCTTGTCAAGCTCAACACTGGAGGTGGTGTCCCTTCTTTTGCTTTTCCATACAAATGCACTTACTCCAGCTGGTGGTACAATACCCGGATGCGGTATCACCTCTCTGATCCTCTAGTTTAAAATATTAGAATATTCAATTTTATTTTGAGTTATATAGCGTTCATGAAATTGACATTAGGTGGTATATATAAGTTGCTTAGAAAGCTCAGTATTTTTTCAAACTATGCTGGTGAAATCAGTTAGTTAAGTAGTGATGTCATTATACAAGGAGCTTGCCAGAATTTATAGTTGTATCTGTAAATAATGCCTAATAATGTATTGTTCTTTATTTCAGCCCCTGTTTCTGTATCTTCCACACCAAGCAGTCCACAGCGCCAATCCATGGGATCCACTTGAAGCACTGGACAAGTATTATAAACTGTTTCCTAACATTCATGATGAAAATAGGAGAAAATTTGCAGGTAAATACTGCAGCCATGGTCTGTGATAAAAATACAAGTCAAAACAGAAATGAATTTCTTTTTTGTTATTTTTAGTGTTGGGAGAGTGTTTTAACACCTATAATTTTTAAAGCTACTTAAATTGTCTTTTTGACAATTAAATTAAATTGTCAAATATTTTGCAGCCATGGCAGCTGCCTTGGATGACTCGGTGAAGAATGTGACCAAAGCTCTGAATGAACGGGGCATGTTGAACAACTCTGTGATAGTGTTCAGCACAGATAACGGTGGTCCTGCTGCTGGTTTTAATGCCAACCATGCCTCCAACTGGCCACTGAGGTGCTCATTCTCTCTCTCTCTCTCTCTCTCTCTCTCTCTCATGTATTCACTCAACAAAACTTTTCCTCAGTAATATACTGCTGTACAGGTGTAGCAGCTAAATTTGACATTGTATTTGTAGTGGCCAACATCCAAACATAATATGTCCAAAATTGATGAATTCTGTCATTTCTTTTTGAATGTCTCTGAATTGGCATTGTACGTACGTTATTGAGAAATTGAAAGAAATGTTGCTTATGAGCTTATGTCTTATATTTCACTCCTGTACATGTACCTTTCATATTTGTTTTCTAGAGGTGTGAAGGCAACACTTTGGGAGGGAGGTGTGAGAGGTGCTGGCTTCATATGGAGCCCTCTCATCAAAAATTCTGCCAGAAAACTTCCTGATCTCATGCACATCTGTGACTGGCTACCAACCCTGTATCATATTGCTGGAGGTGACTCATCCACACTAAAAAATCTTGATGGATTCAATGTGTGGGATACTCTATCACTGGATGCCCCCACACCCAGAGTTGATTTGCTGCATAATATTGATCCCATTTTGAATTACTCAGCTGTAAGGGTTGGCGAGTACAAGCTTATCTTGGGTCATACTTATGGTGGTACTTGGGATGGCTGGTATGCTCCCGAACAATACCATCTACTGGATGAAACAAAGCTCGATAGAGACTCACTGCAGTACAAGACATGGCCAGACATTTCTCTAGATTCTGATACAGCAAAAAACACTGTGAAGATGACACAGTATGAGACAGGTAATAAGAAAAATGACATATCACATGAAGTAAAGCCCGATGGACAAATACTTCTCAAGAGGAGCATTGGATATTCAGACCAAAAGAGTGATTTTATGCCATTTTCTGATAAATTGGCGGCACATTTTGGGATGTCTGCAATTAATTCTGGGAAACATGCAATGGAATCTGGGAAATCTCTAAAAAATCATGGAATTGAAAATAATGTGGTGCTAGACAAAGAGCTTCTTGGCATTGTGTCCCGATATATTCCAGTAGATGTAGACACGTTTCACCTCACAGTGACTCCAGATGTGGTGACTTGTGGAGCCAAGCCTGCCAATGCTAGTACCAACTGTCAGCCCACCATTTCACCCTGTCTGTACCACATTGTGAAAGACCCTTGTGAGTACAACAATATAGCAAATGAAAATCCACAACTTGTGGCAAAAATGTTGACAAGACTGAGGGAATTCAATGCTACTGCAGTGCCCCCTAGGAATAAACCACAGGACTTGAGAGGCCTCCCCATGTTCAATAATGGCGCCTGGGTACCATGGATGGATGGGCTATGAATTTTCCATTTTTTCTTGTTAATTTTTTTTCTGTGTTTTGTATTCTTTCTGCATCCCTATTTTTATCTCCTTTAACAGTTTGAACTTGAATTGTTCACAGTATTTGCTCATCATTTTGAAGTGAAATAATATTCTTTGCATGGGTGCTTGATGTTATACATCATCATCATTTATTAACGTGTCATNAAAATGACATATCACATGAAGTAAAGCCCGATGGACAAATACTTCTCAAGAGGAGCATTGGATATTCAGACCAAAAGAGTGATTTTATGCCATTTTCTGATAAATTGGCGGCACATTTTGGGATGTCTGCAATTAATTCTGGGAAACATGCAATGGAATCTGGGAAATCTCTAAAAAATCATGGAATTGAAAATAATGTGGTGCTAGACAAAGAGCTTCTTGGCATTGTGTCCCGATATATTCCAGTAGATGTAGACACGTTTCACCTCACAGTGACTCCAGATGTGGTGACTTGTGGAGCCAAGCCTGCCAATGCTAGTACCAACTGTCAGCCCACCATTTCACCCTGTCTGTACCACATTGTGAAAGACCCTTGTGAGTACAACAATATAGCAAATGAAAATCCACAACTCGTGGCAAAAATGTTGACAAGACTGAGGGAATTCAATGCTACTGCAGTGCCCCCTAGGAATAAACCACAGGACTTGAGAGGCCTCCCCATGTTCAATAATGGCGCCTGGGTACCATGGATGGATGGGCTATGAATTTTCCATTTTTTCTTGTTAATTTTTTTTTCTGTCTTTTGTATTCTTTCTGCATCCCTATTTTTATCTCCTTTAACAGTTTGAACTTGAATTGTTCACAGTATTTGCTCATCATTTTGAAGTGAAATAATATTCTTTGCATGGGTGCTTGATGTTATACATCATCATCATTTATTAACGTGTCATGTGTATAGAACACTGAGCCCTTCGGGCTTATAAGACACTTGTTGCATACAATTTTTCCTGTCTTAAATCAAAAATCTTAACAATAAATTTTGCTAATTGCCTCAAATTTTTTCCATTAAGTCTTCTATAGAAATGTCATTTGTATAATTTTTTTGAATCTCCAACTTTTTATGAAATTTATATCTTTCCTCTGTGTAAGTAATGCACCGAAGTAAGAAATAACTCTCATCTTCTAGTTCTTTTTTGCATACTTGGCATATTTTTTCATTTAAAGGTGTATTTGTATACCGTCCAGTTTCCACATGCAAAGGCAAAATGCCCATTCGAAATTGAGTAATAATTGATTTTTCTTTTCTTTTTAAATCTATGTGTAAATATTTTTCAGTTTTCAATTCTTTTTTAAATGTCATATATGTTCGAAATTAAGGAAATTTCAAAATGTCTTATTTTCCATTTAATTTGGAATTTTTTCATAAATGAGTTTTTTAATGCATTCTATATCCACAATTTGTTTGTTCAAAAAATGGGTTTCCATATTACAGAATTTGAGTATTTCTCTTACCTCAGAGCAACAGTTTTTTCCCCCAATTTGTAATCTTCTTTAAAAAATCTGTTTGACAAGTCTTTCATTTTGGGCGAGTATTAAATTGTTCCAAAGTCTAAGTATGTTCAACCACCTATTAAATTTTAGTGGTATCCAACCTGAGTTGTACAGACTAATTTTTGGTGTAAATCAGTGTACTCCTAATTAGTATCTTAACGCATTGAACATAACTTTTTCACAGGTTTCACTTTTTGAAAATCCCAAGCCACACAACTGTTAAACAATTTTTGGTATGTGGAGAATCCCATTTGACCAACCTTTTTTGATTTTGCTATAATTAAACCCAGTGCTAATTATGGATGAAAGCAATCTGAAAGTCAAATGCATTTCTTTTCTCTGTTTTCTGTCATTGGTCTCTGGGTTAAAAGTATGTACTGGGTTATTTCTTTTTTTATCTTGTATGTTTTCATATTATATTTTCTCCAACTATTTGATCAACTGTTTTTGTTCATCATAATGATTTTTACTTAATTTACTGTAGCATAATTTTTCTATAATTGACTCAGAACAATAAAGGCTGTCCTTTTGTTGTCAGATATTAATTTGGTGGTTCTGGTCTGTACATTGTAGATGATGTTCTCAGGATTTTTACAATCCTTGGAAGAAAATCTTAGTTACCTGACACTTTAGGATTAGATGAGATCTGTTAACATAATGTACAAGTATAAATAATATTTGTTGTAAGTTTATACCATAGAAAGCACTTGCCTTTTCTATAAGTTTTCCAGATTTTTTTTCACTTTTGACTGCTGTCCCTGGAAAGTGGTTTTTGCTTCCTGAAAAAGGGGAAGGCATGCGCGTTATCTTCTATTTCCAATTCATCAATACTGACATGCACAATTTTATTTCTTTTTTGCGTATCTTGATATCTTCTCACATATCATCAAATTGTTTTTGAGAGACAAAAGGTAGATATAAGATAGATTAGTCATTAAGACCTTTAGAGATTATAATAACAACACTGTTTCCTCACAAACAGAAAATTTCCCATTTACTATTTTATGATAAATATTTTTATTGTATTATTCTTTTTTCAGATATTATTTCTGAATATTTCTTAGAACATAAAATCAAGTGCAATATATAACAATACTTATTGTATTATACTTTATGATACATTGGGCAGTTTATTCTTATTAAGGTGGAGGGGCTTCTTGTTCAAATATTTTATACAGAATAGATGAAATCCACATTGGAGATTTATTTAATAAATATGCACATACTAGAATCATACCAATGGGTATCCGTCTCAAATGTGTGTTACAGCATGTATAATTATAAGTATAATTTGATGGAAAGGAATATGAAAATACTTGAAAATGAATAAATACATCAGTAAAAATACATGAACTATGTTTTATACTCACTTTGTAATAAAAGTAAGCATGAGTGTTTGGTCCTAATTGAATTATAAAAGTGTCACATGTAGCAGCCCCCTTGCTCAATATGCTATATAACGATTAAATCACATCAAAAATTAATTTCTATTCCCTGGAATGGTGAACATCCTAAACGTCCTGGATCTGCCCTTATTTTGGTTCTGTAAATGTTTATTAACAACAAATTTATTTATTTTTGACTTCTTTATTATCCCCACATTTTGGGACAAAAGTCGGTGTTCCTGTTATCCTGCCCATGTGTGCATTCGCAATTCCCACCGTCTTCCTGTAATGGTCTCTAAGCCTCTCACATGCCTCCCCACGTGTCGTCCCTAGACTGGTTGCATTGAGACGAGTTTTACTTACTGTGACCATTACAGGATTAAGCGGTCTTCCTTTCATGTAGGTCTGCCATATTTAGGCCATGGACCAGCTAACACTCAGCTTTTCTCACTTTGAATGGCCCCAATGTTACATTGTGTACCCTAACTGGCTTTCTAAGCTACAATTAAAATTGTAAAATACACTGTACTATATACATATCAGGCTAACAGAAACATATCCTTTTAGTTCCTGATGGCATGCTCACAGCATTTCAAGACTTGGTATATTATGGCATCATGCATTATTAAATAATACATATCATGAATGTTAAAGCTGTCAAGATATTTCCAAGATCTTTAAGAGAAAATTAATTCTTTGGTCATGTGAGGTACAAACATCATTTAAATTATTCTCTGAAGAGGTCCGTGCTGTCCATAAACACTTGGGGACTTTGTATCTGTCATGTATTGAACAACAAAATCAACTTTGTATAGATGTATTTGTATATATACATTAAAACACTGTAGGGATTTTCCTTTTTTCCTGGTATATTCATAGTAATTTTGTAATCATTATTAATTTTTATCCAGGCAGTGGAGCACCTGTTGGAATATGAATTGGACAAAACACCAAAGATCTGCCAGCCAGACTTTTTAGTGCTTAGGCTAAATATAGCCATTCTGATTTTAAGAAATATTGCTATGAATATGGAATTTAATTTTGTTCAAATAATAATAATGAGACTTCAGATATTTTGATTTACAAGTAAGAGTTGGACGTTACTTTTAAATTACCAAAAATGTAATTCTAAGAAAGATGTAATGTGTATTTTTATTTATTTTTAGACATGCATTAATATTTAAATTTATGGATTAAGTTGGCAAATTCATTAAATTGTTTAAAAGTATACTATGCCCAGAGAAAGCCTTTAAGGATCTTTTGACACTTAAAATTCCTGGACTCTTGTAACTTCCAAAATAGATGGGGTCATGTTTTCCCACCTGTCTGTCTGGAAATGTCACTGTGTTATCCCTTTGGTTTGATGATTAATGCTAATAACTAATTGTATCTTTTTCTTTTAATATACTGGAATACAGTTAAATTTTTATTTAAAATAAAATTAATTTTGGGTGGTTCGCAACATTTTTTTCCAGTTCCAAATAGAAGGTCTCTTTATTTCTGCATTACACACACCTTATAATATTTTCTAAGAGCCTGTTTGACCTTGAATAAAGGTCGAAAGTCAAATCCAAGGGCATATTTGGAATCTCCACATATGACTTTTGGTCAGTCTTCTTTAGTAATTTTTCCTGTAATTCCTTCGGTTTTGGAGATATTTAGCATTGAATGATCAAATATTTTGACAAGGGTGCGTTTGAAGGAGCGTCACATCCAGGCCAATGCACCGACTGAGACAAGAAAAAAAAAAAAAAAAAAAAAAACGGGGTTCAAGTTGAGATTATATATGTGACCTAAATCCAAGAGATGGGGACACAGGCCCTTGTGGTCTAGGAGGAGAAGCGGTCATGGTGACTTGTATCCCAGGCTGGGAGCTGGCAGAGCTGTACGAGACTGGTCAGGACTAAAACCATGAGTACTGCCAGCGTACACGCTGATGGTACTAATAATTTAGAGTGTTTCCCCCATCTCTTAAGAAATTATGAGAGGTTAATCACCTGTGAAGACTGAATGTCACATATGGTTCAAGGGCAAGCACAGATTCTAGAATAATTGCAAGAACCACCATTTTGGTGGTAAAATAGAATGTATTATATTTATCTGAGTTGTTTACAATGTATTCAATGTGAAATATTAATCTCATATATAAATGTGTGTGTGT